TTGCCAAAGTCTATTGGGATCCACAAGGACACAGAAAAGTGAAGAACCACAAAGAAGGGAAAATGCATTCAATTTTACAATTTACAAGAATAAAATATTTACATCTAGAAAATTAAAGGTACATTTTCTCTTTAAGTCCAGAATCAGCTTGTTCCTGTTTGAATAAAGAGCCAAATATCAATTCTATTTTGGATAGGATGGTGAGTAATCTAGAAAGAAATTCTACAGACCTCAAACCACCTTAATTCACACTCCCCATAGACCCAAAATGGCGAATTTTCTTCAAATTCTCCGGATTTTCATTTAAATTTTGAGAAAATTAAACCTCTCAATTTTGCTCATCCCTAGTCAGAACCAGGTACCCCAATACAATGCCCACAACCACCAATACAAGTTGCCAAAGTCTATTGGGGTCCACAAGGACACAGCAAAGTGAAGAACCACAAAGAAGGGAAAATGCATTCAAGTTTACAATTTACAACAATATAATATTTACATCTAGAAAATTAAAGGTACATTTTCTCTTTAAGTCCAGAATCAGCTTGTTCCTGTTTGTATAAAGAGCCAAATATCAATTCTGTTTTGAATAGGATGGTGAGTAATCTAGAAGGAAATTCTACAGACCTCAAACTGCCTTAATTCACACTCCCCATAGACCCAAAATGGCGAATTTTCTTCAAATTCTCCAGATTTTCATTAAAATTTTGGGAAAATTGAACCAATTATGTTTTGGATAGGATGGTTAGTCATTTAGGAGAAGGGTCTACAAGTCTCAAATCACCTTTAACTCACACTCCCCATTGACCCAAAATGGTGAGATTTCTTCCAAATTCCTCAATTGTTATTGAAATTTCAAGGAAATAGATACATTTGATTTTGCTCATCTCTAGTCAGAACCAGGTACTGCCCACAACCAGCAATATAATTTGCCAAAGTCTATTGGGGCCACAAGGACACAGCAAATGTAAAGAATCATGAAGAGGATAAAATAGCTTAAATTTTTAAATTTTCAACAAAAAAAATTTACATCTAGAAAAATAAAGATTTATTTGCTCTTTAAGTCCAGAATTAGTTTGAATAATCTGTAGAATAACAATTCTGTTTTGGATAGGACAATGGGGTATCTGGAAGGAGATCCTGCAAGCCTCACTCCCCATTGACCCAAAATGTCCAAATCTCCCAAAAAATTGTATATATATATATATATATATATATATATATATTTTTTTTTTTTTTTTTTTTTTTTTTTTTAATTTGGGGGAAATGGAAATTCACAATTTCACTCATCCCCAGCCAGAACCAGGAACTGCCAGTGATTATCATTACTATTTACCAAAGTCTCTTGGGCATCACAAGGGCACAGTAAAGTGAAGTAAAAACACATTTAATTTTATAATTTACAAAAAAAACACGTCTAGAAAATAAAGGCACATTTTCTCTTTAAGCCTGGAATCGGCTTGTTCCTTCTAAAATAATATACAGAATATCAATTGCATTTCAAGTGGGTCTGCAGCGCTGGGTAGGAACACAAGACCTGCGCTCTTGAACACAAGAGGACTCGGTTGGATTGCTGAGACCCGTCTTTTTTTTTTTCATTCTCGAGGATTGGAAAGTTTGTTTAAAAATTGAACAGATGTTTAATTGCTTTTAAAACTTGAGCCCCAAAGCACAGCACATAAATATGACAGAATATACAATGCGCCTGGTTGTATTTTTTACAGCAGCGTCTCGTATATCCAAGAGACAAACGCTGAAAAGGAGAGGACCATTGAAAATGATACCATTAAAAAAATATTCTTTTTTTTTTTCTTAAGTCCTCTTGCCAAGAGTTTCATAATGAAATACATTAGTTAAATGTTCAACTGTGATAAAATTAGATCCTCTTGAAGATTTTCACTCATTATGGTGGAACTAAACTTTCCTTAATAGAAAAAAAACACTAGGAGGTAAAGTTTTTCTGTAGAATTCACGAGCCAAAAAACTTTTTTTCTTTGGCTCCTGGCGACTTTTTGTTTTCTGTGTTCACTATACAACGTATCTGTCAAGCAATATAAAAGACGGACATTTCCCAGAATACCTGCAGCGTAGCACTAGGGTGGTGAATCACAGTCTGTCATGATCAGGGGTCAGGCTCAAAGACCAGTTGCTATAGCAGTGGAAAGGCTCACCTGAAACCAGCAGGACAGGTACACAGGCAGGTCACCGTGGCGGAGGAGTGGGCTCACCCAAGGTGCGGAGTATAAGTACCAACTGGTGTTCACCAGAGCTTCTGATGGTGGAGATGGATTTTGCAGTGTGTTAGCACCAGGTCACGGTCCTTAGGATCACGACACCAGGAGGTGAGCAAGCGGAGGTCCAGTAGTGTATTAAGCAGGTAAGGATCAAACGGAAGCATGGTCAGTAAACAAGCCAAGGTTGGTAATGAGCAGGCTGGGATCAGGCAAAAGCAGGGGCAGACTGACCATTTGGAAACTCGAGGGCCCGGGGTCAGTAGGGGGCCCCATGAGATGCCCCTGGTACCTTTTTCATAGGCTTTTCTGAGTTTGGGAAGGACACAGGGGCCCCATGATCCCCTATTGCTTGGGGGCCCCATGAGTTGTCAGTCTGCCCCTGGGCCGAAGTGTAGTCAAGAACAAGCCAAGGGTCAATAACGAATAATAGAAAAATATGGATAACAGCAGAGAAGGCAAGGGGCAAGAGACTGTCTGGAGAGCACAATAATCTGGCAAACAATAAGTGCAGAGACATGGCTAATATCAGGAAGTTCATGGGAGGAGCAAGGGGTTCAAAGTTCATGACAAACAAGGTCAAGGTAGGATCATCCAAATAATTGTCAAGGGCGCTTGTCCAGCATTCCAGGTGGCTCAGCAAGAAGCAACATTGCCACTCACGGCCAAGGTTCGGACCCAGGCTTTAACACAGCCATTCACATTCAAGCATGTTCTGACATGTTCCAACTTACACTCTTCTGGGTTGCAGACCAGATGACTCTTTACAGAGTAGTAGAGGAAATAACCTGTGTGTACTTTGTGCTGTTGGTGGAAAATGAGTGACAGGACTCTTGAGCTGAGGAGTAACATCAAATTTTGCGTGAAAATTGGAAAAAGCTCTGTTACAGCAGGTTTATAGTGAACTTTCCATGAAGAAATCAAATGTTTTGAATGGCATTAGCGGTTTAACCTCCTTAGCGGTTTTCCCAAGTGTAGCTCGGGGTAACATTTGAGTACCAAGAGCGGTAACCCCGAGCTACACTCGGGCTTACCATGCGGCGTTGCTCGGGGAGTCCCTGTCCCTGCAGCACTTACCTTGCCCTTCGCTCCCGCGATGTGTCCCCTGCAGCGTCCCCGGCCATCTCCTCCGGCCGATGCCGACATCCGGCTTCCGTGTTCTAGTCCCTGTGACGTCGGGACGTACGGGCGCCTGCGGCAAATTTGAAATTTTTAAAAAATGTCATTTTTGCTGTCATTGCTGTTTCAATGCATTTCACATACATTTTGTCCCGAGTGCTTTGTCCGGCGCCCTGCCTGCATTTTGACTGTTCTTTCTGCCTGGAAACTTAGAAAAGTCCATGGCATCCAAAAAGCATCCCTTTACGTCAAAAGCGGTTTTAGACCGGATAGAGAACAGCCATAGTAAATCAGAACCACTTGCAGAATTGAGTGATAATGATTCGTGGGGGAAATTCGTCATCAGACACTGAAAACGATTTTGCGACTTTGCTCAGCGAATTTGCCTCTGTATTTCAAATTTCAGTGTTTTTGGTTTGATTATATTATTGAATTAAATTTATTATTAATATATTATTATTTTTTATGATTATTTATTAAATTATAATTTATGATTTCGTGTTTCAAGTTTTATCATACCCGGGATGTTTACTAGACTCTTGTTCGGACAGATTTCAGTGAGTTATTCCTAAAAATTACAGCCTACAATAAAAAACTACATATTTCCATGCAAAAAAAATGGTACCGCTTTCAGCACCAAAAAACGGAAAGAATCATACCGCCGAGGAGGTTAACCCTTTGAGGACCAAGGGACGTATTTGTCCCATGTTTTTAATTGCCTGTATCATCTGATTAAGAACTTAAAACTCTTTTTTTTTTTTTGGTTTGAGTCAAAATATTAGTTCTTAACAAACAACAAATGGATCTAGCTTTTTGCCAATTATTTCATGAAATGGTTTAGTTACAGCAACTGAAGTGTACGAACTTTTAAAAACAAAAAAAAAACACAAAAAAAATTATTCTTTTGGCGTTCCAAAATGTTACGGTCCTCAAAGGGTTAAGGAGGGGCGGGAAAATGCTTATGACGACCCAAGAAGTGGGCAGCCAAAAAACGCAAAGGGCGGATGCAAATGTGAAAAATGAAAAGGTTACAGGAATCTGTTTGGAGGAAAAGACTGGAACTCTGGCCTGACAAGTGGATTCTCCACCAGGACAATGCTCCTGGTGATGTGTTAAGTGATACATGCAAGTAATGCATGATGTGTTAAGTGTTCGCCAGTTCATGCCCAGAGATCTATTTTGAAACTTGACCAAAAACTTTATTCCCCTGACTTAGCAACCCTTTACTTTTGGCTGTTTCCAAAACTAATAAATGCCTAAAAGGACAGATTTGATGACCTTCTAGATATCCAGCATGCCGCAACAAAAATACTGCGCAGCGTCCCGGAAAACAAATTCCAGGAATGTCGCATTGTCATCTAGAAAAGTGTGTTGCTTCACAAGAGGACTACTTTGAAGGTGACAACAGTTGCAAATGTATAGATAAGCAAACATTTTTTCAGTCCATTGTGGGAATTGTCATGACTTGTACAGCCCAGCTTTATCCTCAGCATGGTGAACCACTGTCCAGGAGTTTCATAATGAAATTTATACTTTTTGATTTTCAACTGTAATAAAATTAGATTTTCATGTTGGTCTTGAAGAAATTCACCTAACAAAGCACAACTAAACTTTCCCTAAAGAAGAATTCCAGGTATGGATCTTTTTCCATAGCAGGGGCGGACTGACCATTTGAAAACTCGGGCACTGCCCGAAGGCCCGGGGTCAGTAGGGGGCCCCATGAGATGCCCCTGGTACCTTTTTCATAGGCTTTTTTGAGTTTGGGCAAGAACACAGGGGCCCCATGGTCCCCTATTGCCCGGGGGCCCCATGAGTTGTCAGTCCGCCCCTGTTCCATAGTTAGGCCTCATTCACATGGGCATTAGGGATAAAGTCAGTGTTCAGTCCGAACATAAGTTCAGCACCAAATGTTTGAAGGAGAGGTAGGACCAAAGCTTGTTTGGCCCTACTTCTCCTGTGGGTCAAAGGAGTGCACTTCATTCTGCATTCCTGTGACCTATATTCAGCTGAGCCGGTCCAGACTCTGGAGGGATCCCGACTTTAATGATGGGATCCACCCAGATGCCTGGACCAGTAGCTGGCTTAGCCTCTCAGTGCGCCACTAAGAGCCTGAGCCGGCTACTCCCTGTCCCCTCCAGAGCCCAGTGCTTCAGTGAGCGCTGGAGAGGCAGAACAGAGAGCCAGTGACTGACAGTCACTGCTCTCTCCTCAATGAAAGCCAAGAACTGAGCGATCAGTGGTCTTTGATCACTCAGTTCTTGGTCTTAGAGACACTGCATCCACCTATGTAAGTATGTAGGTTTGTTATTTTTTAAATTCCTACACTTCTCTTTTGCGATGTTTGTCATGGCCTCGATCCAGCTGTCAATGGTTGCTAAGGAAGCTGTGGGTGCTTGTACCTTCCACACCCTTACTGATCACCGACATCACCCTGCCCATTCACATACAAGGCCAGGTATTTCAAATGGGCAGACTATAGAGGCCATGACCATATTTGGGCATTGATGTCACCACTATCCCTGCCCCTTCCCTTATAAAGTTTATGACAGCTCAGGGAGCTGTCATTTGACTCTGTGTATGGTGGGTTGTCAGGTTTCCTTTTCTTTTCTTCCGGATGGGAGGAGGGCATCAATGAATTACAAGGGAAACTTGAGGGGGGGGGGGGGATTTTTAAAATAAATGTCTTGGGTGTCTTTATTTCTGTTATACCTTCATGTTGAGGGCATGTGACCTTGTCCTTTTCTCTCCAGCCTACTGTTCTTGGTGCCCTCTTCAATGAATTACAGTTTTTTTTCAACCATAGAGGCTCAGCATCACATGTGGGCATTACCTAGGGCAGGCTACATGCTAATACAACCTTTCTAGAAACTCCCACTCTTCCAGACTGACATCCACCTATCAAAGCATTTTAATATTTGCATAACTCCTCCCACTGTATGCATTAGGGCTGATGGCTCTTGACAGGAGCAAGGGGCAAGGGTACTATGAAGTTCTCAGTAAACTATGTACAGCACCCAGCTGGGCCCCTCCTAGATGCCATGATCTGCCTATATTGCCTATAGAAGCAGACCCTGCGATGATGTCACTGAATCTAAAATAAAGTAGGCATGAAAGTGTTATTTTTTTAATTTTTATTTTTTTTAATGATTTTTTTATTTAAGAAAAAAATATTTTTTAAATTATGTTTTATTTAAAAATAAATTTATTTAACAATTTATTTAACTATATCATAAGTATATTGACAAGGGGAGAAGAACCAGAGACTTAAAAATACTGTATATCCGATCCTCGGTCCATTTTAAGGGTATCAAGAAATCTTCTGGAGCTTGTTGACTTTTACAAGACAATGGCGGTGTGCTTCCATCTACCGCACTCCGTCTATTGCCTCTCCACGCTTGTCGCCGGCTGCTGTGCTGTAATAGGTGCTTACTGAGCCTTGCCACAACAGCTGACAACAGGTTTTTACTTATTTATTTATTTTTTTAAATTCCACCTTTGAAGATAAAAAAAAAACCTGTTTTATATCACATAAAAAAAAAAAAAACAAAAAAACAAAAACGAAGACAACAGGAAAACGGGAAGCAGAAGATCATTTCAGTTGTGGCACATCTGATCCGCTCCAGGACAGCAATTAAATTCAAATAAGGCTTTTTGTATGTTGATGAGTTTTCTCCTTTAATTCATTAGTCATTATGTGTTTTCTAAGTTGCCGTTTCCTGCGCAGTCAGATCAATTAGGCGGAGACGGGGGAGAGACGTGTAAATTCTTCATTTCGCTGGGGCCCCAGTGGCAGACCTACAGTACACAAAGCTTTTTGTATTTTCACAGTCTGTCTCAGAAGAAAGATTTGCTTAATTTTGTTTTTGCAAATCGGAGGTTGACGCTTCTTCGTATTAAAGAGTAACTCTGGGAATAGGATAAATCAACTTTCCCCGCATTGCAAGTAAAAAAATGCGCACTATTGGCTAGGTTAGCAGGAAAAAGGACTTTATCTTAGGTTATCTGTCAGGGACTGCGGGTCTCGCAGCGGCGCACAGGTCTGCACATACACAGATTGCCTAGGTGCACTAATATGCAGGCACTAGGACCTGGGAGTTGGCGTCGGCAATTGGACCAATGACTGTGCAGGGCGCACTATTTAAACTGGCCAGACGGTGACTAGGTTGCCGCAAGGTCTAGTTCCTGTACCTGTGTTTCTGAAGTGTTCCTGTTGCCGATCCTGCTTGTCCTGATTTGTGTTGACCTTCTCCTGCTCTGACCCCCGGCTCCTCCCTGACTACTCTCCTCCTGTTGCTGAACCTTGGCTCGTGACCCGGCTGCTCTCTGTCTACTGTTTGGTACCTACCTGCCTCCACCGTTACCGACCTGGCTAGTCTGACTACGCTCATTCCTGACTGTCAGCCTCTTCACAGCAGGCTCACCCCCCCGGTACGTACCCTCGGCGGGACCCCTCTACCACAGTTGGGTGCACTCAGGGGGCACGACCTGGTTACGCACCAAGTCCATCCCCATCATCAGGGGCTGTAGTGAAAAGGCAGACTGGGACTTAGACTCCACGTCCTGGGGAATCCCGTTCTGTGGATCACTAGAGATTCTGCCGGGCGGTGCCTGACATTATCCCTCATGCTGGTGCTGGCGGCTACCCTCTGATGCTCTGGGTTGAAGGCAGGCCCTTGGGGTTCTCATTTACAATGCAGGTCTGATAATCCTGCGTGGTACAAAAAAAACTGTCAAAAGCCCAAAGGTAACCTCAGGAGAAGTACAGGCTGCTCTGGAAAAAGACAGTGCGGTTGTTTCAAGAAGCTTGATACTTGAACAAAAATGAGCTGCATGGTTGAGTTGCCAGAAAGAAGCTTTTACTGAGCCAATGCCACAAAGTGAGGCATGTCAAGGTGTTGTCGGGCATATTGTAATCAAGCTTTTTTTTTGGGCTGCACTCTTTCTTGGTCTACCTGACCTTGGCTTGATATCAAGAGATCCTCAAATTTTCCATTTCTTGACAAATGATTGAACATCACTGACTGGCATATTCAAGGCTTTGGATATCTTTTTAGATCATTTTCAATCTTTATAAAGTTCCATTACCTTGTTACTTTTCTGCTCCCCATGGCTCAGTATCTCACCTGCTCAGTGCATCCATGTGAGAGCAAACAAACTCGCAGACTATTTATACACAGACACTAATTTTAAAAAACCACGGATGTGAGAAATTAAACTTTAATTGCCATTGTAACCTGTGTGTGTTACCTTCTGTGTCTGTACCAAGGCCAAACATTCCAGGGGATGGAAACTTTTGATTAGGACCATTTGGGTGATTTTTGCTATCATTATGATTTAAAAAGGAGCCAAACAACTATGTGATAGTAAATGGATTCAGCTGGTCACTATCCTTAAATAAAGGACAGTTGTTTAGCATGATAAGACATATTTTCAATACCAATTTAGAAATTTTCAGTATCAATGCCACAATTTTACGATTTGTGACAGGTTATGCAAACTTTTGGACACAACTGTATATACATATATATATATATATATATATATATACACATACATATACACACACAGCAGTATGTGTGTATATGTATATATATATATAAACACACACAGTATATATATATATATATATATATATATATATATATAGGTGCAGCGCTAAAATAACATAAATAAGGACAGCATATTATAGCATAAAATAAAGTGCAGAGTATCGGATCACACTGAGGTGAACTTGATGAATAAAAAGTCCCAAGATAAATGAGGGCCCACGTGGGGATCCGGTAGATCCTAATGAGTGCGTGGGGCAGGGTTGCAGTGTACCACACGGTGAATCTAGGGTAAAAAAGTGCGCACTCACCAGAAGTGCATCAAAAATACGCATGTGAAATTATCCTGTTTCATCAGGTAGCGGTCATCTACTGCCAAGGTAAGGTCAGGATCATACACCTTCCAATCGCAACTCAGGGTAGGTACTCCAAGTCTGGAGTTAGTCTGGAGGAGTGGAGTGATTGCATTAAGATCACACAAGATAGCACCCACATATGATGTTAAACCCCATGATTGATAGAACTGAAATCCACTGATCACAAGGGATCGGGCCAGGGGAAGTCAGACTGGGAAGGAAAGGGCTAGATTAGTCTTTATCAACCCTTTTACACTAGAAGAACCCTTAAAACAATTTTCAGGTCTCAGGGTCTGCCTGTTAAAACCAATTTAAAGGGGGTCAGTGGAAAAAAATGCCTCTTATATTGGTGGGCAGTGATAAGAAAGCCCACTTTATGGTGGTGGTCTGAATGCCACCCTTACAGATAGCTAGAAAGGCCATTGGTGTTATGCCACTGACTTGTCTAAGTGGTGTTGACCATCAGATGAGAGGTCAATTAGTCAGAATTCAAGGAACCCCCAAAAAACTCAAAAGGAACCCTAGGGATCCACTGAACCTTGGTTGAGAATGGCTGGGCTAGGTGAAGCTGGACATCCTCCAGCCAGGAAACACAGCTTCTAATGCACACTGTGAAAATCAGTGTGCAGGGAAGTCAGAGTAAGTAATTTCAGTACAAGAGAGGTGCTGGTACAACTCTGAATAACTGAATGGAAGGCTGCAGGACAAATTTAAGGTTCAACAAGTGGGGTCCTCTCTTAGTGTAGCCCCCTAAATAGGGGCTAATAAATCAATTTAGTTTTTGGCTGGGCTGTAGTTTGTTCATGCAGATTGTATAACTTTTCACCTGTTTTTTTACCTAAGCTTAAGTTGGCCTAAGTTAAGTTATGAATATACTTTCTTCAGCCAATCCAGTTGGAGGTTTATGCC